GCGGGCTTGACGGCGGGCTGGTTCTGGCTCGGGCCCGGACACTCCCCAGTAGGGATGGGGAGTCGACTCCAAAAGAGTCGATTCCTCGACTCTGAATAGCCCTAGAGTCAGAGTCGACTCCAGCACTGAAATCGACTCTCGGTGTCGACTCCGAAATCGTTGATGTCTTTACTGATTCTTAAATCCCTATAGTGCATGCATGGCAGTTGAGTGCTGTATTATATGAGCAAAGAGTGAACGAAATTAAGGGAGGGTTCGTTTGCAGTGCAGTCCATGTGCGGTTCTTAGCCTATGCGGTGCAGAAGCAGCACGGTCTCAGTGTGCTTTATTAAGCCTGTGTTATACTTTCCACATGAGCAATCCGGACACGTACACGGACAGTGCGCACGCGGAAAGTATAACACAGGCTTTAGTGTGCTCAGTGCGCTATGATCCGTGGCTAATGCCACCATTAGCCTATTTTAATTTCAAATTTGAACTAGGGTTGTGACGGTGAGGAAATTTTCCCCCCTCACTGGGCTAAACTCGGGGACAGGAGCCCTCACTGGGCTAAACTTGGGGACAAGAGCCCTCACTGGGCTAAACTCGGGGACTGGAATCCTCCGTGGGCTAAACTCGGGAACAGGAGCTCTCCGTGGGCTAAACTCGGGAACAGGAGCCCTCCGTAGGCTAAATTCGGGAACAGGAGCCCTCTGTGGGCTAAACTTGGCAACAGGAGCCCACTCTGGGCTGGATTCGGGAACTGGGAAGCCAAGGGGGAAGGGGTATAAAATAGAATTGGGATTGGGCCTAAGTCTTGTATGTCCTAACCGTAGTCTTGCATGTATGATTTCCTCCTTTCTATTTCTACTATTAACTGTTCTAACTTAGATTGATTTTTTTAATTCTGTAGTATTCCCTTCCTGTATTACTTGAATCCCAACTTTTTTGCCACTGTTTGTCAAAGTTTTTTTTAATTAAAAATTGTCCTTAATTTTTTCCAAGTGGAATATCTATTTTGTCACTGTGATTTAGAGCTTTTTTTTTTGCTAATTTATCAGCTTCTTCACTACCTACTATACCTATGTGTGCTGGTATCCAACAAAATTGAATATCTACTCGCAATCTTTCCAAATTTAACAACACTGTGTATATAGTTCTATTAAAATGTCATCTCTGGTTGATTTAGACAGAGAGCTCAAAACAGGAAACACCTTAAATACACAAGACATGACGAGGGGAAGATGAGAAACACCTGGGATCAATAAACATAATAGGAACAGGAAACAGGAAGGACCAAATATGGGCATGGACATAACCTGGAGCACGTGGGGGAGCAAAACACACAGGAAACACGGAACAGAGTCTGACAATTCTACACTTTGGTAGCAGTTTAGTTTTTGCTTGAATCTTTAGTCAAGATTTATAACACTGAAAATAATCAGTTAGCTTTTTTAACCTTTTCTACCTTATTTCTGACCGTTACACAGTGTCCTAACCATGACACAGTTACAACCATTTAGAAAATGAGGAGTGGGATTTTTTAACCTATTAGATTTTACTGTGGAGCTACTAGCTATTACCACTGTAAACCGTATAAAAAGAGAACTGTGTATGATATAATATACTTGTGTAAATTAATAATTACAATATCTATGTACTTGTATAAAATACACATCATGAATTTATATACAATTATATATTATTATATTATTTAATATAATAATTTCTCATAATCAAAATCACATATTGCTTAAAATTATTTTTCATTTTTTTAAAGAAATTAGTACTTTTATTTAGCAAGCATGCATTGAATTGATTAAAAACGACAGTATAGTATACTTTTACATTGTTACAAAAGATTTCTTTCGGACTTTCTATTTAAGGAATCCTGAAAAAGAATGCATTACAAAATATTAAGCTGTTTTCAGCATCGATAATAATAAGAAATGTTACTTGAGCACCAAATTAACATATTAGAATAATTTCTGAAGGATCGTGTGACACTGAAGACTGAAGTAATGGCTGCTGATAATTTAGCTTTGCCATCACACGAATATTTTAGTTTATAATTATATTTTTTAAATCTTTATTCTTGAATACATGGGATAAAAAGTGTTGTTGTATTTTTGCAATTTGATTTGGTGATTTTTTTTTTTCTTTTCTTTTTTTTGGAATTACTTTAAACACAATTGATGTGTAATATGTTAATGAGCAGTTTTTGTAGATTATAATAGTGCAAGGAAGATCTTTAATGAGACACAGCTGATTTCAGTGTAAGCCAGCAGGAGTGTGAGTAAATCCTATGTTTCTGTGTAGTAGTGCCCCGTGTGCGCACCCCGTTGACTGCAGTAGTGATGTGCATAAATAGCTGGCGGTCTGCTGTACTGAGACACTAGCAGAAGGTCACTCTATTGATTCAGTCCCGCACTGCGGCCTTTGATTACCGGGCTTGACACACCACCGCAATCTATAATGCATTGTATATGCTCTGTGCAGAAATCCATAATGACTTTCTATATTCCACCCTCATTCATAATGAAGGATAAGCGGTGCCTACTTTCCCCAATCTGTCAGATAGTCCCCATCCGTCAGCCTCGTTTTACATGCACAGTGAGTGGCACATTATTTCAGCTCTGTAAATGGTTCACTTTTAAGATACGACCGTGGCCGCTCGTGGGTGTGCAGTGTGTATTAACTTGAGATTGTGATACAAGTGCAATTTCCCTGTTATTTCTCATTTAAGTCAATAAATGAAAGTACAAGCATTGACAAGTTGAACTAGAGTCACAGCGATTGTTTGTGTGAGTGTGTGTGTGTAAAAATAAATTATATTTGACCAGTTTGCACTGAACTGAATGCGATGAGATAAAGTTTTCGCTAGATGCACACGAAAACGAACATACCCTAATGCATGGCAAGTGTGGTCCATGTACATAGAATACTAGACCATTGTTTCATCATACAGTGCTGTGTATACTTACATATTGCTTGCTATTTTTGTAAATGATGTGAATCTGAATGCATTATGCAAACATTTCAAACAGTAACATGCAACATTGTCACATGACCTCATTACATACTTTTCATTTTGCATGCACACAAAAAAAAAAGTATTTTATCTTGGCAGTCAAGAAAAGGAGTCAGTAAAAATTGTGATAGATATTACTTCCAGTTTACATGTCATTCATTGCAGGAGATTTCTTTGGAAGTTCACATTTATGCATTTGAAAGCTTTAATCCAAAGCGTCTTACTTTGCATTCAAGGTACACATTTACTTTTTTCTCTCTCTCTCTCTCTACTCTTTGAGCTACAGGAAAGCTCGATAAAATCGGAGACGTCATCGAACACAGACAACACTTTGAGTCATAGTTTTTGAATGACTTGATGTAATCCATAATGTTCATAAATACAAACATAATATAAATGACAATATAAATGTAAACATATACATACTTGTGTATTTATATACATAATATATTATTGTCATACCTCAAACCTCAAATTTTTTTTAATGTGATAAATAATGAAAAAAGCCAACAAGCCTTTTGCATTGTGCTACATACAGTATATACATGTATGTTTATTGTATATTTTATTACATTTATGTACATAAAATTACACTTTAACACATGCCATTGTAACAAGTCAAAAATGTTTTGGTTTGCAATGGTGATGTGCAATGACTCGAGGGGAAATTGTCTTCTCTATGTCCTGTAAAGTGATACATTGATGTACAGTTGTTCCCTTTGTCATTGTTATTGCCCTTCTATATTCATGTATGATTTGGAACTTCACTTAAGATGGCATAATAAATAGAAAACATTAAAAAGTGTTACAAAGAATAGTATTATTTTCTTTAGATCTGGGGTCTCTCTTTTCTTTCATATCATTCTTGTTATTTCCTTTCTTGTCCTTCCCTGCACATTTTTGTAACTGATTAATTTAAAGGAACTCATTATTTGCACTTTTACTTTGTGCTGACTTGACAACTAACTTTCACCGCTCACTATAATCCTCAGTAACAGCTGTATGACTGGAGCGTTGTCAGCAGCTAAACTCAATCCAGTTTTATATTCTGTGGAGGAAAAGGCAGAGCGGATAGATAATCTCAGACCTCACTTATGCCTTTATCTCTCACATTTAGTGCAAGCATGTCCTATCATCTCACTGATCACACACGCTTCTGTGTTTTTACAGGACCAGAATCCCTTGCAGAGTCTCTAGAGGAATAAGAACTCATCAGAGCCATTGGTTCCCTGAAGTGTAGTCTCATAAGCGAAGTCTTAAGGGATCTCAAAACCCTCCGCCCCTTCTCTGTGAGGGGCCGCTGCCATGATATAACCTCCAAGTCTCTAAGTGCACACGCAAGCGAGACCCAGTGACCCCTGACGCCCCCCTTCCGCTCTAGAGGAATGCGCGTCTGTGCGTTTCTCTTTTTAGAGTGAGTTTACTTCAAAAACAGTGATTTTATCCTCTTGTTGCTGGAAAATATAATTTTATTAGCGATTCAGTATTTAAACTGTTATTAATAAAAGTCGTGGGGCAGCGTTGACAAGTATCTTTGCTCCTGGATGTGTGAGCTGCGCGATCTCTGATGTGTGTGTATGTGTCAGTAAGCAGTGCATTAATATAGAACGATAATTAAAGGCTCTAATGCTCACCAGCATAGGTGTGTGTATTGTAGGAGCTAGACGACGTATGATGACGTGTGACAGCATAGTAGTGGTGTCCCAATTCTTAGGGGAATATTTTCACCCCTACCCCTTGACAATCTGTTTCAAGGGGGAAGGGGTATAAAATAGAATTGGGATTGGGCCTAAGTCTTGTATGTCCTAACCGTAGTCTTGCATATATGATTTCCTCCTTTCTATTTCTACTATTAACTGTTCTAACTTAGATTGATTTTTTAATTCTGTAGTATTCCCTTCCTGTATTACTTGAATCCCAACTTTTTTGCCACTGTTTGTCAAAGTTTTTTTTAATTAAAAATTGTCCTTAATTTTTTCCAAGTGGAATATCTATTTTGTCACTGTGATTTAGAGCTTTTTTTTTTGCTAATTTATCAGCTTCTTCACTACCTACTATACCTATGTGTGCTGGTATCCAACAAAATTGAATATCTACTCGCAATCTTTCCAAATTTAACAACACTGTGTATATAGTTCTATTAAAATGTCATCTCTGGTTGATTTAGACAGAGAGCTCAAAACAGGAAACACCTTAAATACACAAGACATGACGAGGGGAAGATGAGAAACACCTGGGATCAATAAACATAATAGGAACAGGAAACAGGAAGGACCAAATATGGGCATGGACATAACCTGGAGCACGTGGGGGAGCAAAACACACAGGAAACACGGAACAGAGTCTGACAATTCTACACTTTGGTAGCAGTTTAGTTTTTGCTTGAATCTTTAGTCAAGATTTATAACACTGAAAATAATCAGTTAGCTTTTTTAACCTTTTCTACCTTATTTCTGACCGTTACACAGTGTCCTAACCATGACACAGTTACAACCATTTAGAAAATGAGGAGTGGGATTTTTTAACCTATTAGATTTTACTGTGGAGCTACTAGCTATTACCACTGTAAACCGTATAAAAAGAGAACTGTGTATGATATAATATACTTGTGTAAATTAATAATTACAATATCTATGTACTTGTATAAAATACACATCATGAATTTATATACAATTATATATTATTATATTATTTAATATAATAATTTCTCATAATCAAAATCACATATTGCTTAAAATTATTTTTCATTTTTTTAAAGAAATTAGTACTTTTATTTAGCAAGCATGCATTGAATTGATTAAAAACGACAGTATAGTATACTTTTACATTGTTACAAAAGATTTCTTTCGGACTTTCTATTTAAGGAATCCTGAAAAAGAATGCATTACAAAATATTAAGCTGTTTTCAGCATCGATAATAATAAGAAATGTTACTTGAGCACCAAATTAACATATTAGAATAATTTCTGAAGGATCGTGTGACACTGAAGACTGAAGTAATGGCTGCTGATAATTTAGCTTTGCCATCACACGAATATTTTAGTTTATAATTATATTTTTTAAATCTTTATTCTTGAATACATGGGATAAAAAGTGTTGTTGTATTTTTGCAATTTGATTTGGTGATTTTTTTTTTTCTTTTCTTTTTTTTGGAATTACTTTAAACACAATTGATGTGTAATATGTTAATGAGCAGTTTTTGTAGATTATAATAGTGCAAGGAAGATCTTTAATGAGACACAGCTGATTTCAGTGTAAGCCAGCAGGAGTGTGAGTAAATCCTATGTTTCTGTGTAGTAGTGCCCCGTGTGCGCACCCCGTTGACTGCAGTAGTGATGTGCATAAATAGCTGGCGGTCTGCTGTACTGAGACACTAGCAGAAGGTCACTCTATTGATTCAGTCCCGCACTGCGGCCTTTGATTACCGGGCTTGACACACCACCGCAATCTATAATGCATTGTATATGCTCTGTGCAGAAATCCATAATGACTCTCTATATTCCACCCTCATTCATAATGAAGGATAAGCGGTGCCTACTTTCCCCAATCTGTCAGATAGTCCCCATCCGTCAGCCTCGTTTTACATGCACAGTGAGTGGCACATTATTTCAGCTCTGTAAATGGTTCACTTTTAAGATACGACCGTGGCCGCTCGTGGGTGTGCAGTGTGTATTAACTTGAGATTGTGATACAAGTGCAATTTCCCTGTTATTTCTCATTTAAGTCAATAAATGAAAGTACAAGCATTGACAAGTTGAACTAGAGTCACAGCGATTGTTTGTGTGAGTGTGTGTGTGTAAAAATAAATTATATTTGACCAGTTTGCACTGAACTGAATGCGATGAGATAAAGTTTTCGCTAGATGCACACGAAAACGAACATACCCTAATGCATGGCAAGTGTGGTCCATGTACATAGAATACTAGACCATTGTTTCATCATACAGTGCTGTGTATACTTACATATTGCTTGCTATTTTTGTAAATGATGTGAATCTGAATGCATTATGCAAACATTTCAAACAGTAACATGCAACATTGTCACATGACCTCATTACATACTTTTCATTTTGCATGCACACAAAAAAAAAAGTATTTTATCTTGGCAGTCAAGAAAAGGAGTCAGTAAAAATTGTGATAGATATTACTTCCAGTTTACATGTCATTCATTGCAGGAGATTTCTTTGGAAGTTCACATTTATGCATTTGAAAGCTTTAATCCAAAGCGTCTTACTTTGCATTCAAGGTACACATTTACTTTTTTCTCTCTCTCTCTCTCTACTCTTTGAGCTACAGGAAAGCTCGATAAAATCGGAGACGTCATCGAACACAGACAACACTTTGAGTCATAGTTTTTGAATGACTTGATGTAATCCATAATGTTCATAAATACAAACATAATATAAATGACAATATAAATGTAAACATATACATACTTGTGTATTTATATACATAATATATTATTGTCATACCTCAAACCTCAAAAAATTTTTAATGTGATAAATAATGAAAAAAGCCAACAAGCCTTTTGCATTGTGCTACATACAGTATATACATGTATGTTTATTGTATATTTTATTATATTTATGTACATAAAATTACACTTTAACACATGCCATTGTAACAAGTCAAAAATGTTTTGGTTTGCAATGGTGATGTGCAATGACTCGAGGGGAAATTGTCTTCTCTACGTCCTGTAAAGTGATACATTGATGTACAGTTGTTCCCTGTGTCATTGTTATTGCCCTTCTATATTCATGTATGATTTGGAACTTCACTTAAGATGGCATAATAAATAGAAAACATTAAAAAGTGTTACAAAGAATAGTATTATTTTCTTTAGATCTGGGGTCTCTCTTTTCTTTCATATCATTCTTGTTATTTCCTTTCTTGTCCTTCCCTGCACATTTTTGTAACTGATTAATTTAAAGGAACTCATTATTTGCACTTTTACTTTGTGCTGACTTGACAACTAACTTTCACCGCTCACTATAATCCTCAGTAACAGCTGTATGACTGGAGCGTTGTCAGCAGCTAAACTCAATCCAGTTTTATATTCTGTGGAGGAAAAGGCAGAGCGGATAGATAATCTCAGACCTCACTTATGCCTTTATCTCTCACATTTAGTGCAAGCATGTCCTATCATCTCACTGATCACACACGCTTCTGTGTTTTTACAGGACCAGAATCCCTTGCAGAGTCTCTAGAGGAATAAGAACTCATCAGAGCCATTGGTTCCCTGAAGTGTAGTCTCATAAGCGAAGTCTTAAGGGATCTCAAAACCCTCCGCCCCTTCTCTGTGAGGGGCCGCTGCCATGATATAACCTCCAAGTCTCTAAGTGCACACGCAAGCGAGACCCAGTGACCCCTGACGCCCCCCTTCCGCTCTAGAGGAGCCCTGATGTGGTGCGCTGCCGCTGAGCTGAGTATGCCTCAGACTCCCGTGTTGTGAAAGGAGAGTGTGCGCTGGGCAGCACTAGGCGCCATGCGTCCGTGGACGGGCTCGTGGCGCTGGATTATGCTGGTGCTGCTGGCCTGGGGCACGCTGCTTTTCTACATCGGGGGTCACCTCGTGAGGGACAGCGAGCATCCGGAACGGTCCAGCAGAGAGCTCTCCAAGATCCTGGCCAAGCTGGAAAGGCTAAAACAGCAGAATGAAGATCTGAGACGCATGGCAGAGACTCTCAGGTTGGTGAAATGTTGAGAAATGTAGCTATTTCTTTCAAATTATTCAATTTTCTTTAGGGTTTGTCTTCAAATGTGAGTTACTTGGTTTGCCAGGATAATTTGGGCATCTACTGGAATAGTTAGCCTGCAGGCCAACAGGTCTGAGAAGTCTAAAATGTGATATGTTAGCTGGATTATAATCTTCCTCCATAAATCAGAAAAGGCTAGATTTATTGCTTGTTATCCAAAATTTATCTAAACATAAGCTTTGTTAATTTAGCAATAATCATATGTTATTATAGTATTCATTTTAAATGAGCTTTTATTTTTAGTTTTCATTTTCATTTTAGTTTAACTTTTTTCTGATTTTATGTGCTTTTAAAAAAATTTATTTTAATTATTTCTATTTAGCTTTATTTTTATTTACATTTTAGTTTTAATAATTGTATTACTTTAACCTAAACTTATGTAGTTAGTTGCCAAATCAATGTTTCTAATTTCAGTTTTTTTTTTTTGTCTAACATTTTTATTTCATTTCAGCTTTATTTCAATTAATGAAAACGACTTTTAATAGTTTTTAGTTAAACAATAACAGCGCTGACCATAAGCCATTTTTGTAAAATGGCACTCAGTTCTTCCTTTTTTTATCACTACAATTTACTCTAGAAAGGGGCAAGATTATGAATTATTATGTTAATGTTAATAATAATATCCTAATATCTTATTGCTTTTACATTTAGCAGATTAGAGCTGGATGATAATATAATTTACATTCTGCAATGATATAAACAATCAAGCAGATTTGTGATGCTTTAAATAGGATGAGGTGCTATGCCTTCGCTTGCTGACAGCTTACCAGTACTTTCAGCACGGTCAAATCCTCCCAGAGTAGTTGCATACTGACAATAAATCACCAATTTGTAGCAAATTCACCATATACAACAATAAATTTTAAGACATTTAGACAAACTTTCGCTGTTAGCAGTGTCCACTGTTTATTTCTATTGGTCTGTTTACACTTGCTGGGTTACGATTTTTCCTCGTCAGCCAGTAGCTGGCCTTGGTCAGGCTTGCACTAGTCACTTGCTGTCACGCACTGTGACATTTGAAGGCCACTGGGCTTAATTTGAGCTGCTTTGCTAGTTAAATAATCATTACCCTCGGGGAAATCTTGTATAATCGACAGATGCAAACACACTTCCTTATACTGTATATATTTATACTTCACCTGCCTGCTGTTTTAATCTAAATGTGTGTGTGTGTGTGTGTGTGTGTGTGTGTGCAGTATGCAAACTTGTGTGCACCATGTATTTCATTAAGCTGTGGTCTTGTCATCTATCTGCTTATGCATTTTGTAAGCTCAGTTATCGGTGTTATTGTAAATTATTAAAATGACCCCAATGACTTATTCTACAAATGTGCCTCATAATCATCTGATATTTGACAGCACACATACACACTTCCTCACAATGTTACTGTATTTTTGATCAATAAATGCAGCCTTGATGAGCATAAGAGACTTTTTACAAAAACATAAAACATTTGTAATTATTCCAAACTTTTGGCCATGTATAGTTTTTTTTTTTTGTCGTATTTTTTCTTTATTTAAACCATTAAAGTCATTTTTCCCTTTGAATGTAAGTGTTGTATTTTAAGAGAATAATACTTTGTCGAATAATAATAAAAAGCTGAATAATTTTTGCACGCAAGTCATTAAATATTAACTTGCTTTTACCTTTAATGCCATTGTCAGATGCTGCTTTTAGAGACCTATAATGGCATTATCAAATCAGACTTTCAGAACTAGTTACAAATGCTACAAAGTAACCAAAACCTTGGTACATTGGTACATTGGTAACACTGGTAACACTGAAAGGGTTTGGACACATCAGCATCATAAACTTAGACTCTTCCTCTAAAGATTGTATGAAAATCAGCCTCCCATAAACAAAAAGAGGAAACAGCATGTCCTACTTCCTGCATGGATGTAAACAAGCCTAGGAACAACGAATTTGTTTTATGCTTTTTGGCAGAACATAAACACAGACTTGATTATAGTATGATTTTCAAAAGCTTTTTCAAAAAGAGGCTATTTAAAGGCTTTGAAGCAATGCTTTTTTTTCCATTTGCAGTCAGTTTCAGTGAAGTATTTCTCAGCTACTGATCATTTCATGCTCCAGACAATTATACATGATTGAAAACAACTGCTGTATGGGCAATGAAAACCAATGAAAAGTCCCTAGTAGCTAGCCTTTACCGACATCACAGACAGACTGATTTAAACATTTATTTAAAGGAATATGGTCAGTATTATATAAAAGGGGTTATAGCGAGACGCTTAACATATGTTCCAGAGAGCTTTCTTTTTTTTTTGTGACTCTTTATGCAGGTTACATTGTTACAGTAGATGGCGACAAGTGACTCTCTTTATGAGAGAGGAATCTAATTGTTGATTCATTCAATAACACTGATTCATTTAGGTAGAAAAAACTCCTGTAAGTTATATTTACATTGTCAATGCTTATCTCTCTCTCTCTCTCTACATATATATATATATATATATATATATATATATACTGTATATATATTAGTGGCGTCCGTTGCTATGGCGCAAAGACCGCTCCGTTCATAATCACTAACGTTAAAAAAGCTGTCACTCATCTTAGTTCATCTCACAAAGATACATTATTACCATTAAAGTTCTCTACGCTGCACAACGAATCTCTTATTTACATTGCATCAACACTTTGTTATAATGAGATGATTCCTGCTGAACAAAATACCTGAAAAAAACCTCCTGCGATTTGAGCGGTGAGTGGATTCTAACTTAAACGCCTCTGATTCAAGAAATCAACAGATATGTCTGTGATTAGCTACATTGCTCAACGCTGCAAAAACGTTGAAACAGAAATCGATCTCCAAAGCCTTTCTTTTTTTTTTGTGACTCTTTATGCAGGTTACATTGTTACAGTAGATGGCGACAAGTGACTCTCTTTATGAGAGAGGAATCTAATTGTTGATTCATTCAATAACACTGATTCATTTAGGTAGAAAAAACTCCCAGTGTCTGAATATGCTGACTTTTGTACCATATAGTAGGCGAAAAAAAGTATGTGAAATGTGTAGCATGTCAGAATTTGTAGTACTCATAAAACAGTAGGTGAAAAGTAGAAAGATTACCTACAGTTCTGAAGTGTGCTAATACAGCTTTAACTGAGGGTGCTTTTGATTTCGTTTGAGGGTGCTTAGCACCCTCTAGCACCCCCGTAGAACCGGGCCTGTGTGCATCCAGTGGACACATCGCCATCCCATGAGGCCACAGGAAATGAATCATGAATGGCAGATGTAGTACGTCCAGATTTCATTCATGCTACACATAATTGTTCTACAGTATATTGAACATACTTTTTCATTGTTTGCTAAGTTTGTTTCTCATCAAATAAAGTACATATTCATACAGTGTGCTCTTTCAGATGCACCTAATCACTGAGTCATTGAGTCATTCACTCGGCACAATGGTAGATTATTACTGTGGCTTCGTTTGAAACTATTTTTGTTGGTGGAGCAAAAACAGACAAAGTACCTAACAATTACTCAATATTTACTTCTTGTTGAACTTTTGTATAACAGCAACATCACACTCGCAGTTGTGCTGTTTTTCCGAATATCTTGCCAACATTCGGGAACAACAGAACTTTTGCTTTTGTGATATTGCTTTTATTATTCTTAATAGTAATCGAAAACCAGTGAATCGTGAATGGATTAGTCAAGATTCTCACTCCTAACAACCACCCAGAAGTTTTTAGCAACCTATTTAGAGCTTTTCTTTTATAAGAAATAATGTGTTTACAGTAGCTCTGAACTGTCTGGTGTAGCAAACTCCTCATTTTGAATTCTGATGAAGGGTTTGCATAGAGATGTTTGACTCTAAAGAGTGTGTATGTGTGTGTGCTCGCTACTCAAAGTAGGACGGGATGGAGAAAGTGTTATTTGCAATATATGAACATGTACAGTCCTAATGAACTGAAACAGTTAGTTCTCCCCCTATCGCTCCGACACAGAACAGTATCAGTGCTGTCAGTTTTTCATTAAGCACTTCCTGTGGGAATTTATTAGGAGCTGATACACACACACACACACCGTGAATCCCCATTAGAGCCCACTGATGCTTCATCTCACATTTATATTGACTCCTGTGTAAATGAAAAAGCAGATAACGCACACACAGAGGGTTGTTCAGCAGATATGTGGGTGAGTGACAAGGCAGGTCAAAGATGCTGCTGTGATTGATCCAGAAGGAGGAGCCTGATGGAAGAGAAGGTGTGTGACTCCAGCACTGACAGACACTTATATCTCTCACACACACTCACACACACACACACACACACACAGCAGTGCTAGGACAGCTTTGCTGATGAGTTGTAGTGCAGTACAGAGTAGAAATGGGCCACCACACTGCAATGATGACAGTCATCCATTCACATATACTAACCATGTGTCCAAATATGCCTGCTTTCCTGCTGTATAGAATTTTGCAACATGCTCAATTTGGACATTCAAATTACAGCGGAGTAATTTGTTGACATTATAGCTGAGTTGAAGACAGAAATCTGAGTGAGCTGTACTTCATACATCACTACACTATTTACAATACACAACTGACCTTAATGTGACCATACCTTAAGGCAAGTCAGTTTATTTGGCAGTTATTTTGGTAAGGCCCCTAGGCAGCGCTTTTCCGTGTACTAGGCATACAAATACAACTATCCACTTGAAAGGGAAAATCACCAAATTGTTTTGATTACATTATTTCAGTCTGCAAAAATACCTGACAATAATGGTATAAATTAAGCTTTTTTTTTTTTTTTTTGCTCAAATCACACTATATTTTTCAGGCTGGTCTAGCTTATGCACATGCATATTAAACGAGTATGAGTAAATAAAGAGCTTATACCACTATCAGAAACACTGAAACACGGGACTTTAATTCCTGTGCAATCAGCAGTCAGTTTGGTTGAAAC